TGAAGTCAGTGTTCCCTTTCTGATCTGTTTTAGAGTCCATGACAGAAGTATAAGCACCAATTCCAGCTGCAGTGGCAGTACTTATACTTTTGACTTTATGTGCAAAACATTTTATAACTCAACTGGAGCTCTCCAGCAGAGTTATTGGCCTCTCCACTCTGTGCACTGTAATAGGAGAGACTTATGACGCCCACTCTGCCCTTTCTGGCCTGCCTCTGCAGTCTGGCTTCAGTCTTTACAGAGACCGCCAGTCAGAGCAGCTTCAGCCGCTGTTCATCATCTCCCACAGCAGCACTTACTCTGCTCTGCAGCACTTCAGATCTGTTGTTGTAATCGCTGTCACTCACGACCTCTTATTGGCTGAACACCAATGAGTCAGTTATAGATTTAATGTAAAAATAAGAGCAAACTATGAATGCACAACTAAAGCAGCAATAAAAATGCTGAATCTATTACCAAAATGCAAGTTGTGCAAGCTACTGTGTATGCATGCCATGTGTGTTAATTTAGACACATAGTTTTCATTGTTCATCAATGATTAGTGGCTTTAAACACAAACCACCACATCATCCTACCAAACTGGCTTCTTGACCAAACCTGCCGACAAGCAGGGAACCCTCCCTTATCCCGACAGTAGCTCTCTGTCAGAAAACAAATCTGCTGTTGCTGTGATGCAGAAAACTGTGGTTAGGTAGTTCAACAGGTTAGAAATAAATAAATGAGTCTTTCCTTTTGGATTCCAACATGGAAAGCTATGTTACATAGATCTGTTCAGCAGTCTGAAGGGAATGAATGATGTGACGAGCAGGATGCACGAGCAGACAGGACGCAAAACCGAAATCTTTTATGATGGCATGTGCTGAAGAGTTGAGCCTCACACAGGACAAGTAAAGAAAATAGTACAGAGTTTTGCAGAATTAGCAGTTAGCTCCATTTATCTGCTTAAAAATCGTATTGCTGTGAACTGTTTGAATCCCCTTAACTTGGGCCCATCTCATCTAGGGATGCACCGATACCGATACTGGTATCGGGGCCGATACTGTAAAATGTGT